CAGTATGTGCTGTGTCACAAGCTAGCAGCCCTCCAGCCCTAGGGAAGGAGAGAGGATGACACCCTGAAGGGCCACAGGTTGGAGTCGAACCCATGTTCACGGCAGCAGGGACTCAGCCTTAGTACATTGGGCACCAGGTGAGCTATCAGGGCACCCCTGAATTGAGCTGAATTGTTGACATCCTTATGTCCCCACCACATCTGAAACCAAAGCTTCACTCTTTGCACAGTGTATGTCTAAATGGCTTGTACTGTTTACACAGTAGCAACACACGATGAAACACAGTACAGGAGGTTAGAGTACTCAAAAGTACCACTGTCTAAAATTCTTTTAGGGTCAATGTCTAAATATTAATATGGTATAAAGGAATATGGTCTATTAAAAACAGATATCACAAAAACATGACAGTGCTGGAAGAAGTATTCAGATCATTCAGTAAAAGTACTAATACCACACTGAAAATACTCCACTATGAGTAAAAGCCATACATTCAACCTTACTTCAGTAAAATATATACGTATTGTCTAGGGTCGCACAATTAATCATCGAAATCGATACCATATCGTGCATCCCTAGTATTGTTAGCAAAATATACTTAAGTAAGTTAGTAAGTAAAAGGAATCATAGTGCAGTAAAATGTTCCCTGTCAGTGTTTCACTATTATATCTGATGTTTTGGATTAATATTACTGCTGCATTAATGTGTATGTTGCATTTTACTGCTTTACATGATACTTTATAGGTAGTTTAATCCAGGGGTTCCTTTTCTGTAATCTACAGCAATTATAGAAACCTTTCTATATAATGCCATCCAATTTAAGGCAACCACAAACTGCAGCCTCAGAAGTATCACAGAGATATTAGGAGCTTTGCAAAAGTAATATTCGTCAAATATTTTATTGAAAAGCACATATGTCGAAAAAGCAACTTGGTTTAGGAATTTCATACCTTAACGTGATCCAGTCCACAGAAGCAGACAGAACATACAACAAATAGTGCTTTTACTTCCAGATCAGAAACACATCTTTACACCTATTTTTTACTTAGTGCTCTGTCTATTCTGTTGTTGCCAGTCTCACCTTGTTGAGCAGCATGAGCAGTGCAGAGCAAGGCCAGTAAAAAGATAAGCTGTTCCATGTTTCCTGGATGTCAGAGTTCCAGATAATTCAAAAATAGGACTTTTGCTGTCTTGATAAATATTTTAAAAGAGGTGGAGTCAGTTTCTGACCAATTGCAAAAAAGTTTATTCCAACATTTCACCTATTGATTCACTATTGAGGGACAAAGACTAAAGTTGCCTAAGTGTGTGTGGGTGTTTGTGTGGTGGGGAGGGAAGTTCCCAATCTCATTTTCATTTTTCTAATCGGTATATTAAAGGTCCAGTGTGTAACATTTGGGAGGATCTACTGCAGGGACACATAATTAATTACATTTAATCAATACATGTAACCAATTAACACCGTAGATACAATATTAGAAGTCTGTGATCTCGGTAAAGATCTTTAAATTGGCACTGTATGCAGATTTAATTTTATGATATCAGCTGTTATGTAAGAGGTGTCACCTGATGCATGTGTGTTTTGTGGTTATTGAGCAGCCATTACAACTAGCCTATGTAAGCAGTAAGTGGAAGAGCCTGTACAGCCTGAAGGCTTTACAAAGCAAATACATGAGCCATTTGTCCTGCATGTGTTTCTGGTGGATTTGTTTCAGCAGTTCACTCAATGATCCACACAAGATTTTCACTTAGTGTTTTCCATTACATGATCATATGACATCCAGCTTGTATCTGACATCATGCTACTTCTGTAATATTCCCATCATATGACAGGTTGATCACATGACTTCCAGTGGCTTCTCATAGAAATTGGTTTGATTGGCTGTGAGTCATAGTCGAGGCAGCAGCTATCTCTCTGATTGGACAGCAACCCTTCAACCCCCAGCGCTTCCTGGTTATATGCAAATGGGGAAATAAAGTTGTTTTTAAACCTGTGCTACGGTGGGAAACTCTGGCTTTATTTGACTGGGGATCAAAATGTCACCTAGAAGCGGCTGTAACCTGGTTCTGGTCGTCGTGTTCTGTCTTTTTGTGACTGCATATTGTAAGTTTCCTACTCTAGACCACATCAAACCGAAAGCCAGCGACAAGTCGCAGGGGAGAGCTGTTGTCGAGCTGCTGAAACGCCTGCTGGGGAACAGATCCACGGAGTTCATTGTGTCAGTCAACAGGAGCCTCTCCAACGACAGCCTGGATGTGTGTGAGCTCAGGTCCACTAAAAACAATAAGATAGTCGCTACAGGCAGCACTGGAGTGGCCCTGGCTTCTGGCATTTACAACTATTTGAAATATTTCTGCAACTGCCATGTTTCCTGGTCTGGTGACCAGCTGGATCTGCCCAGTCCCCTCCCAAAGCTCACCGGCGTCCTGCGCATCAACACACAGCATAGGTTAGTGACCCTTAATGTTACTATACTGGGGAAGCTATTCACGGTTAAAAGAACCATGGTCACCAGGTTTTTAATTCGGCATACATCCAGTACATCAAGCAGAGCTTATGTCATTGATATTCCGTAGAAATGGGCAACAAAGTTTGTTTCCTTCTGGAAAACGATGTGGGGGTCGAGCGCGAGCTGCGGTTCACTGCGCTCGAGTGTTTTTCTGAAGTTCGTTAATTACTGCTAGCTAAATGACTACACTGTGCATATCGAACTTAACACAATACCGTATTCATGTCTTTAGTCACTTTCTTTAAGGAGGAGCCTTTAGACCAGTGATTTTCAACCCGAGGTCCGGAGACCCCTATGGGTCCTTGAGGGTATTCCTTGGCGTCCCACGAAAAATTGTGAATACTTTCAATTCATTATTATTTATTTGGCTAAAAGTTAGCCCAAAGAGAGTGAGGGTGCGGGGACGGATTGTATCGGCTGCTCAAAACATCTAAAAAGTTGTTCTGTGCTGCCCACAAAGCATTTTCATGACGGCGCTATCAAACTTTAGGAAAGAGGATGCAATGATATGTCTCTGTTTGAATTCTATCATGGCAGTGTTTGGGGGGCATGATGTAACCCCCTCCACTGCAATACAGCACAGCAAAACCCATGGGTGCATGACAAATGAAGTGTTGTCACACATTATTTTTCATTGTCTACTGCGAGCACTATGGACACTTGTACCGCAGCCGGGCCCTTTAAAGGACCCTTCCTTTCAATTATCTGTTGTGCATTAGACCCACATCAGCTCGCCCCAGTTATGTCATGTGCACAGTAGCTAGATTGAAAAAGCCACGGCAAGAATGGCATGGCTTAGTTTTCCCATGACTATAACTTATAAGGGAGGACTGTGACTTTTATCAGATGGGCATGGAAACTGAGCAAAAAGTACCAGCCATAAATATTTTTTACTGTAATGAAACTGCCACTCGGAAAGTTATTGGTTAGATCCCCGACTCCTCCCACTAACTCACTTTGGACAGTGACACATTTTGTGTTTTGTCTTTGTTCTCCAGATGCAAGAGGTTTCAGCCTGAAACGCACTTACTCTAACCCTCATAACCCTCATTTGACGTCCAACGTGGAGCAGTATATAATATTGAGATTTCTTAACTCAGACACTGCTCTGTGACTCAAATCTTGTGATAATACACAAGAAACACAACAAGGACTAGGTGCCACTGTGACAAAAATGGAAAGCAGAATACCTATTTGCACTTATTTGGCTTTTTACAGTTGAATATAACACTGCATTTTTTTAGCCTAATGCAAATATTTTTGTCATTTAGTTTCTCTTGGTTGTCTTATAGCTTTATTTTTTATTTTATTGTTTTTTTTTTTATTTGGTATATGATCTCCTTTGAACACAATACATTTTTCAGCTATTCATTTTATAATAAACAATCTATTTTTGTTTGTATCTAGATTCCGGTATTACCAGAATGTCTGCACCTTTAGCTACTCCACTGTGTGGTGGGACTGGCCGAGATGGGAGAGAGAGATCGACTGGATGGCGCTCAATGGAATCAATCTGCCGCTGGCTTTTACTGGCCAAGAAGCTCTGTGGCAAGAGGTGTGAGCAAATATTCTGTACAAAATCTACATTAAACCACAGGAACACTGTTAAAAATCCTGTATATGTATGTATGTATATATACATATTGTGGAACAGATGTAACAGCAAATAGTTCTGTGCTTCTAAAATAGCCATGGTGGGCAGAAAATTGCTACATATTGACTTAGATGAGAAGTAGATTTATTTTTGTAGCAAGTTCATCAAGATATATGGATTATTCTCAGAGCAATAAGATGAGGAAGATACAATTAAAGAGGAAGCAATTCCAGGAGATGGGGGTCATTAAGACAAGAGCCGGAAGAGAAACTTCTAACTTCTCTAATGTGACCTTTGAATGACAAAACATAAGTTGACATGCACAGCAGCATGTGAATATCAACTTGTTAACTTTTTCTGTTCCTTTAGGTTTACAGAGCTCTTGGGTTAAACCAGTCGGAGATCGAGGAGTTCTTCTCTGGCCCAGCATTTCTTGCCTGGAACCGTATGGGAAACATGTTCCAGTTTGGAGGGCCTCTGCCGCAGTCCTGGCACGTGAACCAGCTCTACCTCCAAGTACTGAAACCTCCATGCTCGTCAATACAGTTTAAAGCCACTATGTGTAGGATCAGGACATTTCTGACTTGGGCATCACAGTGTAGGAATAAATGGGCTGAAAGCAGCATGTAGACTGCACTATTCATATTTTACAATAAACAAACCATCAGATTGAACAGTATTTTGAAATTGAAGTATAAACATCATTTACACTGTGACTGGAAGTTTTACAGGACTTGGAGTTCTTAAAGGTTAATTTCAGTTTATCACAACTTGGGTCTTATTTTTGTAGTTATTGAGGCATTTCCTATTGTTTATGATAACATTATAGTTGAAAAAGTAATACTTCTTGAAGCACATTGCTACAATTACAACAATTTCAGTGATCCAGATCATTTGGCTCAAATCAGTAATAAGAGCCGGCTTTCAGCTCCCAAACGTCTTTTCATTTAGTACAACTTCTGGCTTTTATAATTCCGCCAAAGTTGACAATATTTTGACCTATGGTTGGTATGTGTGCACATATATCACTATCAAATTATTCTATGTAATTATATAAAACCATATCATTTACCATCATCAGAATGCCATCATTTTACATTATGCTTGGTATAAAAACCTTAAGTAATGCAAGTACATTTACACATTTTTATTTATATTGAACTATGTTTTGTATGCTGGCAGCCGGTGCATTATAATGTTATTACCAAAGTGAAACATTCATGGGCTGGTTTGGAGCCAGTGCCTAATCTCAAACCTTCTTTGCCTTTCAAGAACCAAACCAACCATCTCTAAGTCAGGAAATCTGGTTCCAGCTTAGAACCAACACTGCTGGTCTAGAACCAAGAACTGCTTACAACAGGGTCTGGGTGCGCCTTGTGGCCTAACAGCTATGTATTAGCTGTTTAGCACATAGATATTAGGAACGTAACATTGAGCTAGCTAGCTTTTGGTCAGCTGCATTGCCCATTAAAGCATAGATACTAATTTCTCACATCAATATTACATTCATAACATTATTGGTAACTTTAATTACATACTAGGTTTGTAACACTGGTGTGATGTGCTCATAGAGCAGACTCATTCACAAATGATACATCATCACTACAAAAAAAGATCAACGCACCTGAAATGTTGCTAACAATTCCTCATTGTTAAGGCAGGAAGTGGTCTATAAACTGTGATGTCTGTTTTATAACAGACAGTTTGGGTCATAATTACACTGCTGTCTTTGCTTTCTATTGTAACTAAGAGATCATCTGTTTATTTGAATGAAATCCTGTCACAAGACATTTCCTTTCTTTTTGCAGTTTAAAATCTTGGAGCGAATGAGATCCTTTGGCATGGTTCCTGTGCTGCCAGCCTTCTCTGGGAACATTCCCAAGGGAATCCTCAGGTGACTCATGCTTGTTAATGTTTCAGGCTTTCTGAATGATACTGCTCTTTTCACAAGGTATCAGAGACTTAACATTGATGATTAGCGGCTTAGTTAGTAGCAACCTCAGTGTCTGAACTCAGAGTCACTCACAGGTGTGTCAAAAAAAATGTCTGGATTCCCACTCTCTTTAAGGAGAGCTCACAAATGGTCACATCTTTTATCGGAAGGCCTAGTATTGTCGCATTAAA